GATTTAGTTGGCAGATTTTGATATTTTTCCCTTATCGAGAATCTGTATCGCTCATAAATAATAGTCAGGAAACGATCTGGTTAAAGGGAGACGCTCTTTCCAGCCGATTTAAATCCGAAACTCTAAACATAACCTGCTCCTGAACAGGTTAGCTTCACAGCATGATAAAAAATTATATATATATATAATTAAGCATTACTGATACCAAGCATATTGCACAAAATGTCAAGTGAATTAGGTAAATGACTAAATATCTACATATTTAAGTAACAAACTAAGCCCTTGAGGATTGAAATATTAAATGAATCAACTAAACCTGTGAAGCATTTAATCCGTCACTGACTCATAAATTCGACAGAAACCAGCAAAGACGGACGTGTGTAGGAGTGAGCCCTCTTGTTTTACCTGCTTCTCTTCACTTCCTGTTCCTGCCCGTGCTGCGTTCAAATAAAGCGTAAACAACCCTTTCCGACCTTTGAGTTATGACGAGACGCTCTTTTGAGACTCGCCGAAGTGTATATGTCTACCTTCCCTTTAAGCACACTTTTGTGTTTTTACTTTTACAACACGTTTGGGATTATAGATGTTGTCGCCTTTACGATTTCGTTCGCCTGGTTTCTGACTAACTGAATGCTCCTGTGGCTGGATTAAGTAAGCAGGGAGCTGGCATTTCCAATGTTCAGTGAAGGCAGCACAGCGAACAGAGCTGGCGGCTGCGCGTGTCGGTGTGAAGTGAAGGAGGGGGATGATGAGCTGAGGCTTTTTCAGCCATGTTAGTTTTCTGTGCCGTCCACAAACGATGAGAGAGACGAGTCATGGCCTTGTCATTGAGCGGAGACGATGAGGAATATGATTCAGAGACCGAGCAGGTACGAGCTGCTATGTTTCATTATTTCACCTCTGAGCTTTGTGTTGTGTTTTGGAAGGAGAACCAAAGGCCTTTTATGAGCGTTTTTCTTCGGTTGCTTCAGGTTAACGTGAGGTTTTCACCCGCTCTTCTCTGGATCTATGTTAGTCGGGTTGAGAGGAAAAAGGGTGTCCTTTAAACCTTCGTTTCGCCAGCATGCCTGGTTATAGAAACCAATACCTAGCTAAATGTGCTGTACGCTGCTAAATAAACTCAAGTTGCACATCAAATTTGATACCGTGACCGTCAAAACACACCGTGTCCTCTCCCCCTGGACACCATCTATCATGTTAGCCACCACTGACCCATTTTGTACTGACCACCTCTTAATACGGAGCAGTTTCGTCCCGTCATGTTACGCATTAGTGGCTGTGACCAGACCCTCTGTGTGTCCCACGAGCTAGCGGTGAGACCGTCCAACTTTACCCTGGCTAAAGCTGTGATTTACTCATGTACCTGCCACATTGGAGCAGCTTTTCCTGTGATGAAGCTCCTCACACTTCCTAAAGTTGCCCCACCACTCTGCGCCTTTAAGACGGCTTTAGGCGAACTGTTGTTGAGGCAGGGACCGAGGAGGGGGATGGGGAGAGGGAACAATGAAGTGGCTCTACTTCTGTTTTTTCGTAGTCCAGTGGTTCCCAAATCTGGAGGAGTACAGTGACCCCTCCAAACCCTGCTAATAGTTCAGTGCCAGGAGGATAATATAGTGCTGGTAATTATAATCAGGCGCTAAAGTGAACATCATGTCCTCTGTGGTTCCTTGGGAAAAAATTTCATCTGTGGAATGAAGTGCTTGTTCAGTGGTGCAAGCAGCACGAATGCTTTCTAACAGGGCTTATGTGATATTGCACAATCCTCTGTTGTACACTTGGCATGTACTATTCAGAGGAAACAGGAGAAGTGCTGATGTAAGAGCCAGCTCCTTGTGCTCACACAATGTTTATATCAACAACACACATTAACAGCACATCATCAGAGATGATATTTTGGCATCTTGTGTTGTGACACACGGTTGGATACAGTAACACGCGCTGTTATTTTAGCTAAGGACCACTGTACATGAGCAGCAGATGACAAGCCTTGTGACTTCCTCCCACTGAAATCCACGCTGAAGCTGAGTCAGAAGACCGCGTTGAGAATATAGGCCATGTTTTTGTTCACAGGCCTCAGCGACCAACCCCAAATTCCTGACATATTACTGCACAGAGTTACAGGAAAGACGAGTCAGCTGGTAGTTGCTTTGAGGACCACGTTTTCTAAAAAAAAAAAAAAAAAACTGTTATGATTCTTCTAAATCCACAATTTCCTGCTACTTCTTTGTCGTAAACTAGTAGGGTAGAGGTCCGACAAGTTATTTGTTGTTGTCAAAACTTTCCGACTTGTTCAGAGGCTCTGTGAACTTGACCGTAGTATGATATCAGAAAGAAACCAGTTGTGTTAGATGAGGTCAGGAAAATAATGAGGCAGCTGATCTTACAAAAAAAGGCAAAACAAAAAAAAGTTGTAATGTTGACAGTCACCCCTGCAGCAGTAACAGCAGTAGCAGCTACTGTCCTTTTTTGATGTATCCGTCCCATATTTCCACAGTTGTCAGATGAATTAATGGGAGCTGTTAGATTCATTTAGCCCTGTTTTGCTCAAATGCTCCATCAGCAGCAGCAGCAGCAGGCAAAGGATAACTTATTTTGTCGGAAAAACACCTTATTTAAAATAAACTGTGTTCTAAAAACATGTCATTGTAAAATCCTCCTGAGGTAGGGCGCGAAAACGAACAGGTTGTGGTAAACATGAAGGGACATGTTGAGGTTGTTATTATTGATTTACTGAGAAGGTTCTTTGTCACAGTCAACACATTCACGACAGGTTTCTCCTCTCTTTCTAGATAATATCATTTAGAAACCATTTGTCAAGATTGTCTTTAGACTGGATTGTCTTGTTCTGTTTCCTTCTTGTTTTACCTGTTTGACCTGTCCACAGCATTGATTCCCAGAAAAGAAATCAACACGTGCTTGACTGCTATTCAATAAAATAGCATTATTTTTATAAATATAAACTGAATACATAATGCTCAAAGGGCTGCATTCATCTTTAGTATGTGGGCTGTGTGGAGTTATCAGTAATAGAATGAGAGTGAATGACATCAGAAAAGTGCTCAGAGCCACTCAGCAAAGCATAACCTCCTCTGTGAGCTTATTTTTATCCATCACTTACAGTCCCCTATTCAAACAGTTGCCACCAGCAAGGCAAATGTGTTGCCAAGGTAACCTCTCCTGCTAGAACAAGAATCACAGTAATGGTCTATGATTTGTCTTATTTTTATAGTGCTTTATAGCCCTGCCATGGCAACAGAGAGGAGACCAACAGATCCATGAAATTCACAAATATGAATTCAGGGTGTAGAATATAGTCAGTTAATTGATTGCTTTTTAGAAAATAAGTCAGTGATTATTTTGATAATTATTTCTGATGTATGTTTTGATGCACAGACCCAAACTAATCCAGTGTGAAAATTTGTTTTTGTCAATTTACACTATACACACATTTGTAAAATGAAGATGTATTTTTTTCACAATTCTCTGACATTATATAGTTTATACAACAAATCTGTGAATTGTAGTATCAGATTAATCAGTATCAAGAATAAATGTTTGTTGCAGACCTACAGATATTTGCCACCATATGTTTAGTTTTCAACCGTAGAGCCGAGTACAGCTGCAAAGATTAGTGATTTGTTCAGCAAACATGCAAAACATTTGCAGTTGTGTAGCTTTTAAAATGTAACTTTTACGTTTCCAATTTCTAAAGTGTGATATTGCTTTGACATGCGTGATGGGAAACTGAATCAGTTTTTTCCTGTTTTACTGATTTCTGACTGTTAGAAGCAGACATTTGGAGAGGTCATGGGCTGTGGAAAAAATAGAAGAGGCCCTTTTAAACAATTTTCAGATGCTTATCAACAACTTTTTAAACCTTTAACTGAAAAAAAGTTATCAGGTGAATAAATGGGGGGTGACTGTCTGTCCGACAGTAAGCATCATAGGTCAGCGTACAGTCATTTTAAGACAATGTGTCTGTGTTGCCGTATTTGACAGAAATCTGTGTGTTTCATATTATTTCTGATGATTTATTTGATTGATTAAGTTCAAAATATATATCTAATCATTCTAACTGTTCAATTTCCAGCAGCGGGCAGCCAACCGGCCAAAGCCCAAGATGGGGACGTCGTCAGCTGTTAAGCTGCCGTCCAACCGCAGCTCGTCTGGAGCCAGACGAAGGAGGACACGCTGCCGAAAATGCGAGGCATGCCTCCGGACTGAATGTGGAGAGTGTCACTTCTGTAAGGACATGAAGAAGTTTGGTGGGCCGGGGCGCATGAAGCAGTCCTGCATTATGAGACAGTGCATTGCGGTGAGTCAGTAATAGGACAATTTTAGAGTTTACAAACATTCACAAGATAGTATCACAGAGTAGAATTTGTATTTGTAGAAAACATTTGTCGCACTGGCCAGTGCACAAGTCTGAAGGAAAATTTGTATTAGCTGTTGTACAACCTGACCTCTCCTGAAAGACTAAACAAAACTCATTATATCATCATTGGTACATGTGTTTATTCCTACTTTATTTGTTTGTTCTTGCCTCACACAGCCCGTCTTGCCCCACACAGCAGTGTGTGTGGTGTGCAAAGAAGCAGGGAAGGAGGACACACTGGAGGACGACGAGGACAAGTTCAATTTCATGCTAATGGAATGTTCTATCTGCAATGAGATTGTCCATCCCAACTGCCTCAAGGTACAGAGTGCCATAACAGCTGAACAACTCCACCTCAGTCAAGTCATTCACATGGTGACTCATTGTGTTATGTAGTGTGCCAGGAATCCCAGGTCATTGTAATTTTATGTGAGTGACTCAGATAGTTGGACTATAGTCACTGAAGGTAATTGTGGGAATAGTGTTGTTTATATAACATTGAACACACTCATCATTCTTAAGTGGTTCCAAAGTTTTTATTGCTCAACTTTGACACGGTTATGTCTTAGGATTTAATTTTTAGCAAATTCTCAAGAAGGAAAGTGATCAGGGATGAAATCATGTACAAAATGACTAATGGTGTGTTGTCTTAAAAGTATGTCAGGAAGTAGACTTAACCAGAGGTGCTAAAGACATTTGATGAGATAAAAAAAAAAAAAAAGTGTGAAGCAGTCCACACCCTGTATGAAACCATTATGTCAAAAACACAGCAAGGTGTTGCTGGCATAGGTTTGGTCAAACCTGTTTTCGAAACATGCACTGTGTAGTGGTTTAGCACAAAATAGCTAGGGTATAACACTTTTTTAAATCTATGTGTTACATTCCTATGAAGTACAGTCAACAAAGAAATGTAACCACTACTTGGTGTGACCATCTTTTGCCTTTCAAATGGCACTAATTCTCTGAGGAACACTTGTGCAGAATGCTTGAGGGCAGGTGTGCTGTTCCAGACTTCTAGGAGAACTTGCCACAGTTCATTTGTGCATTTAGGCAGTCTCAGTGTTTTCTGTCTTTTTATGTAATCCCAAACTGACATTATGATGTTCAGATCAGGGCTCCATGGGGGCTTACCATCTGTTACAGCACTCCTGTTTGCTGAAGATGTTTTTTTTATGACTCTGGCTGTTTAGCTGTTGTCATGCTGCAGCATGAATTTGGGGCCTCATACAGCAATTTAGATTATACAGCCCTTAAGAAGTGCATATTCAAGCTAAGTAGGATCTTTAGTTGTCTGTACTTCCCTTTTCTGTTTAATCCATGAAGCAAGAGTCTACATGTTAAATATGAGGTTAAACTGCGCTGACCTGTCTTACAAGAACACGTCACAACTGTGACTTTCACTTCCCTTGTCTTGTTTGTGTTAAACACCCTGTACATAGCGCTCTGTTCAAGCTTGTTGTTCTGGCTGAAATCTTCATTTTCTTGTCTGTATATCAGGTGAGTGATGCGTCAGGAGTGGTGAACGATGAACTCCCTAACTGCTGGGAATGTCCCAAATGCAACCATGCTGGGAAAAGTGGAAAAGTGAGTACAAATATGTGTGAGTCAGCAGATTTAGGGTACATTAGAGCTAACTAAGTGTGTGTCAAAGGATTTTTTAGAAAGCAGTAACAATAACAAAAGAATTACAACTAAAGAGTTTTGACATTACATACGCTTTCTTCTTTCACTGTTGCTCTCAGTATTTCAGTTTGTGTGTTGATCAGCTTACCGCTTCCTGTTTATACTTTTCTAATTTGTGAAAGTCATCCACATGTGACTGTGTCGGTCACAGAAACAGGAAACCACTGGCACACAATGTGTTACATACATTTATTATATGATAGGTATACTTAGATACACAGTTGTTTTTTCATGTCACCATAGGCTAAAGGTATAAAGTTGTCTCGCAATTTTTGTCCCCTTTGGTATTGAAGCAAAAAAGGGGTCCAGGGTTTAAGTACGCCTCCAACCTCCCTGGCTCTTTGCTGAGGGAACAAAAGCCTGTGAAGGAGGAGGGGGATGTTTCTTCTGCCGCCAAGAGGAGACCAGACAGAGAGGAGACGCCCAGGTACAGACCCGAGGAGCCTCTCCACCGACAGCCACCACTGCTGTCCCCCAGCACCCTGCCCCGGCCCAGGCCTGAGGACAAACTGAGGAAGAAGAGGAAGCTGTTTGACGATGATGATGAAGAGGATCTCAGTTTGAGGAAGAAGGTCTGTGTAATAAACAGAGTGGCTCCTTATTTTTCCATATTACTGATCCAAGTGTTTGGGGATAACCGAAACAAAGTCATAAAAGTAATTCTTATAACATTTTTTCCTGCAGGAAAAATCAGATGATCCTTATTTTTCCAAACTTCTGCACCAAATCAAGACAGAAGAGGAAGACGAAGATGTGTATGAGGAGGAGGATGAAGACGGAAGGGAACTTCACTTCCGAAGTGGCATAGATAGGAAAGGGCGATTTGGGGACACTGAAGAAGGGGATTATAAGGACTCCAAGAATGACCTTTTGAATCCCTGCATTAAAACACCAGTTGGAGACAGTGACCAGTCCCACTGCAGCTCTCCACAGGCTGGCCCCAGCAGCGAAGGTGGGAGCGAGACCCAAGAGAAAGGTCCACGTCCAAAAGCTCGTCGTAAGCGACGTTTACCTAACAGAGAGCTGAGCCGAGAGCTGAGCAAAGCACTGAACCAGGAGATCCAGAAGACAGAGGACTGCCTGGCCAACGAGAACCGGCAGCCCCTCAAGGTGGAACCAGAGACAGAAAACGAGGAACCCAAGAGGTTGTTTCGCATCGGTAACGAACTTGGGGATCAGAGGGCCCACCTCAAGGCCAAAGAGATGAACGGGACCCCCTGGGAGCTGCGCCACTTCTACCCTAGTCCGATCACTCCGCTGGGCTTCAACAGGAGCACCCCGACCAATCGGCCGGTGCCTCCACGCTCCCCACCCAAGTGCGTCCAAATGGAGAGGCACGTCATCCGGCCCCCTCCGATAAGTCCACCTCCTGACAGGCTGCCTCTAAAAGATGGGAAAACACACGTCCTGCAGCGCGAAGTATGGATGAAGATATTTCACTATCTCACCCACCAAGAGCTCTGTGTCTGCATGAGAGTTTGCAAGACGTGGAACAGATGGTAAATGCACAACACACACACTTAAAATAGCATGTTTACATCATAGTTATAGTAAAAGAAAAAAACATAGAAGTGAGAAGAAGCAGTTTGCTTGTTGGTGTCCTACTTTATAAAGACATGGCATATATTACGATTCTTTCCTTCTGACTAGGTGCTGTGATAAGAGACTTTGGACAAAGATCGATCTGAACCGCTGTACCTCCATCACGCCGCTTATGCTAAGTGGGATTATCCGCAGACAGCCAGTTTCCCTGGACCTAAGTTGGACCAATATTTCCAAGAAACAATTAAGCTGGCTTATTAATAGACTGCCAGGTACCTGACTCTGACTCTTGATCTCCAGACAAGGAAAATTCTCTTTTTCCATTTCACTTGCTCTGCGTCAGTGTTTCAAAATGCTGCTTTATCTTTCAGGTCTGCGAGTGTTAAAGTTGTCGGGGTGTTCCTGGGCTGCCGTGTCTGCACTCTGCACCTCCAGCTGCCCTCTGCTGCGGACCCTGGATGTCCAGTGGGTGGAAGGACTCAAAGATCCACAGATGAGGGACCTTCTCTCACCCCCCACAGACAACAGACCAGGTAAAACACAAGCATCATCATTTGTAACATGAACATACATAAGGATTCAAACCCTAAGTGATTACTTCACTGAATGCAAACTATTTTGGAAAGACACTCTTAAAGTGGGTGACTTTCCTGTAGGTGGTGGGTCAGTTATATACATAAATACTGCACATGCTACCCACTCCAGTTCATACTCAAAATTATTGTTCCTTATTATTTTGCTTGAAAGACGTCCTTTAGGTATAGGTCTTAGAAATATGAGAGGCATTTATAGCTGTTAGGCATCTCTGATATCCTTGTAGACTTGTATGCACCTGCTGACAAAAAACAAAAATTGATCATTTATGTTCATCATGTGACCATTGAACAGGTCAACTGGATAACCGCTGCAAGTTGCGTAACGTGGAGGACCTGCGGCTGGCGGGCCTGGACATCACTGACACATCCCTACGTCTCATCAGTCGACAGATGCCTTTGCTGTCCAGGCTGGACCTGAGCTACTGCAACCACATCAACGACCAGTCAGTCAACCTGCTGACAGCAGCAGGGACCACCACCAGAGACTCCCTCACAGAAATCAACCTATCAGGTGAGATGTGGGACCTGAGGAGTGGCATCAAGGGAACACACAAGCACAAATTCAGGACTTTCTGAGTGGTTAAATGGTGCCAACGTAGAGGTGTGACGCAGTTGTTAGACGCTTCAATCGGTCAGTCAGTTTTTCAAGGGAGTCGCCTGGATCAAGCAAATTTTTTTTTGTCCCCTTAGTAAAAAGAAAAAGTCAATGCAAACTTAAATTAACAAAAGCCATTACATACCATAGCATGTACCCTTTTAATGTCTAACATAATAACGTGCTGCACAAAATCAGATATTTTGACTTGTCATAGCAGGAGATGACAGCTGACAATGAGCCATTATGCACAATACTAAGGTCCTTAAACCAGATCATCTCAAGGCCAATTCATGCTTTCTGTATGACCAATGCAGATCTGTGCACCTATTGTAGTATAATAGGTACATGTCAGTCTGTTTACACATCGGGCTGTATCACTGTGTCAGTATGATTATATGTGCCAAAAACAGTGAGTGAAATTCAAACTTCCTACTTTGTTTGGGCACCATCAGGGGAAGCACGTTTAAAATCAAAGCACCTAACAGTCCTGCAGCGACTACTTCACTTAAAACTTTTTTAATGATTCCTTGCAATCGCACAGCCTTTCTTCATAACAAGAATTTGTCTAAGTACAAGATGTTTTTCTGGCACTCGATGCGGTTGCGGTGCAGTCTTTGTGGTCACAAATTTTGGGCTGCACATGGATGTCTGCAAAGCAATGTGCACGAACCCTTGTGGACTTGAGTGGATAATAAAATTGATGCCATGTGTGCCCTTGCGGACAAAGAAAGCATGAGTATGCCTTTAGTTTACACAATGTCTTCCATTGAAGAGGAGTCTTAATTTAATTATCTGTTTGCAATTACTACAAAAGACAAACAAAATAGTTGTTACTCTTTCAGTTACCTGCTCCTTCATGTCACTAATCAACTATTTGGAAGTCTGCTAATAGACAGGATACAAAGATAGAAGGCTGTGTTTGGCATTCACAGTGAAACAGAGTTGTTCACTTACATCCCTTCAGTCTGTGTTTTCAGAAAATGTTTTTGTGGTAACCGCAGAGGAAGTGAATACAGTATGTTTACATTAATGTATTTCAGACAATGAATTTGCATGACAGCTGATGTCAATCGCTGAAATATTTAAATGCTGTGGGCTGCACTCTATTGATCCAAGAAATAACATACTGCGCTTAAGACAAATAAATTATAAAGTAAATATAACAATCACTGGACATTCTTCATGACTGTGATGTTTTTATAGGTGACATAAATGGTTTCATCACCACAAAGGTGCTTACACTAGCTTTGTTTGATTAGACTTCAGTTCAAGTGGAACTCTTCCTGATGTATGTAAGATCACCAAAATGAAATAAGAATGTCACTCTCCCAGTGTAGCTAGTGTTACAAAACAAAAAACTGTGTTTAAGAGCAGGCTGTCAAACTGTCTGTACACGCCCATGCATCCAGTCAGGAATAACCACTGAGAATATTTGTGTTGTTTACTCTTTGGGCTTGTAAATAGAAGCAGTTCACTCCAGGGGAATTAAAGGTGAGACTGCACAATAATGAACAAAATGATAATCACAATTATTTGAGATTAACATTATATATGATCATAATCATTGATTTAAGGGACATTTTTATTTTGCACTTTCAAATTTAAATAACCAGAACTCTGGTTTCATTTTCACATTGTGCTACAGTCCTTCAATTCTTCTGATCTTTACATCATAAGACTTAATATAAAGTTCTTCTTCACCTGATTTCAGTGCATAGCCTAGAGGCAAAATATTTTTAAAAAACTGTGCCCGATACACTTTACTTTATCAATATCTTCTAAACAATAGGCACTAAAATGTATTAATTTTATGTAAACACATCTCAAGCAGGTTACAATAGACACAAGTTAGGCAGCTTGTAGTCTCTACTTAGTTACTGCAGCAGCTCAGAAAGCTTTCTGGCCACAAATGACTGAAATAAGGCGTTCTAATGTCAGATTCAGCCAAGATGAAATGAACTGATTTTATCTACACGGACTGTTTTTCCAAAATAATTTGTAAATGCGTCGATCATGTTCGTTTAATTGTGGGAAGCCAAAATCATGATTAATCAGTCAAATTTTTAGTTTTATTTAAAGGTTAAAGTTTTAGTTACTTGATATTTAGAATGAGTTCTTAATGAACTGAATCTGCCTACTGGGACCAGTTTCAGTAACCACAGTTTTACAAGACAGGATCAACAGCAGATTTTCTGCACACATCCGATTATTGTTTTCTCTGTTTCTTTTTAGTCTGTAACCGAGTCACAGACCATTCCCTAAACTTTTTCAAGCGCTGTGGAAGCATCTGTCAGATCGACCTTCGCTTCTGCAAGCAGGTGACCAGGACGGCCTGCGAAAGGTTCATCGCAGAGATGTCTGTGAGCGTACCATTTAGACTGAAAGAGGAAAAACTGCTGCAGAAGGCAAGCTAGTTCCTAACAGGACAAAAAAGGTTGAAAGACTGTCTTTGCACTTAATGGAACAAATGGTCCTGTGATAAGGCTCTGAATCACTGTCAGGATAAACTAAAGTGAGAGATGGAGAGCTTGGACTCTAATGTAAGGAGGTGATAAACATTCACTGGACACATACAGACAAAATGGCATGCATGTATTTCTGTTGAGACTGTACTTTTATAAAGATGTGCTTGTTATTGACTGTTGGGTTATTTTTATTCTTTAAATATTTGAAAACACAGTATTTTTATACCAGCATCATTTCATGAGTATACAGTGTCTCAGGAGCTAAATATCACAGAGAGACTGTGCAGCATGTGAACTGAACATTATCCCCTTCAGTTTACCTTCATGTATCAGTGTCTGTGTGCCAAAATCTGCATTCGACTTTACAGTCATTTCACTATCGGACAAAATATAGCATGTACAGTAATATCCGACTAAATGATCATAAATACTTTAAATATTTAGAATGTATTTCGATGATAAAACAGAGTAAACAAATTCATATTCCTATCACACCCTCATGCCTTCAGTTATGTTAGTACTTTGAACTGTGGAGTGTTTTGCTTGATGGGGTTTTCATCAATATTTCAACATTAATTTATTGATTTTATTTTTTTTTTATTACAGTTTGTATTTATTCAGTAACTTGACATAGATGTCTGACATAGCTGGGTTGAATAATGCGTGCAAATAATTTATCAGAGTTGTGTGAGCACCCAGTTGGTGGACTTTAACACCCAAAAGTCAGTAGCAGGCACAGCAAACCTGACACTGACTTTCCATAATGCAGTCAACCTCAAACATCTGGTTCTCTATACTGGTTTATATAAGCAACTAATTATGACCTTTGCAAACAACTTATTTGCATACATTTAAAAATGTACTCCATACGGTAGGTGTTGTACTTTGGGTGTTGTGCTGTAATCTGTCACCTCAGGTGAATGTGATAATGTTTATATTTGTAAATCCAAAAATGAAGTGCTAATATGCATTAAAAGAATTTCATTTGTACTATCACTGAGTCTTCTCGATTCTCTTTGCTGTATTCTGATGGAACTTAAGGATGTCAGGCTGATTTGTTCCCTGAAGCAAAGCTAATAGAGAGCAGTGTGTCACTACTTTTGTCATCTCAAAACCCATAAAATGAGGCAGTGTTTACTTGTGACTCAATAGAGGGTATCGCCTCAGGGGACATGAGGGCTACGATGACTATGTCTGTTGGTCCACCACATTGGTTTAGCCTGAAACATGTTGCTACTTTTTGTACTTGCAATAATGGTCCTCAGAGGAAAAATCCCTCTGACTTATGCACCTTTTTCAGAACTTTCACACCTGCTAAACAGCAGTATCTTACTACTGTAAGGACGTTGGCATGCATGTTGGCATGAAATTTAAAGCTCAAAGCACTAAGCACAGCCTCACAGAGGCACCAGCAAGTAGTCAAACAATCAGGTTTTATTTGTATAGCAAGTCATACAAATGGAATGTTTCACAGTGCTGTAACACAACACACCCATAAATGATTATGAAAGGAAGGAAAAGTCAAAAAGTCAGGGTAGCAAAATAATAGGAAGTGTCATATGTAAAATAAAAAATACTAAGCACAAAAGAAGTGTAAAAATAATAAACATGTAAGAATCTGAAGAGGTAAATATACATTTTTCACAGAAAATAAAATGAAGATGAGTTCCATTGAACAGCCAGAGTTACCGCCTCGTGGTTGTAAAGCTCCACTAGAATGCAGCTCACAGCCACATTTGTTAGGACTTGACCTTTGACCTTTTAGTTATGAAACGTCATCGATTTATTAGTTTATTAATAGATATTTGTGTGAAATTTTGTCATGACTAGTGTCTTAATTCTCAAGTTGTGGCCAAACGTGTGGTTTGTGACCAAACGGTCACTTTGACCATTAAATCCTAAGTAGTTCATCCTCAAGGCCAAGTGGCTATTTGTGCCAAATTTGAAAAAATTTCCTCAAGACATTCAAGAGGTTTCACATCCATGAGAGGGAGATGGATGTATGAATAATCTGAAAAATAATGCCTCTGACCTCAGCTGTGACTAGTGCGGATGCATAATGTTTTTCTTGTCTTCTTGGGACCACCTGGGGACCCAAAGTTCAAGATTAGTAACTACTGATAATAAAGTATATAATATGATTCTCACAAAGGAACAATGTCATAAACACAAGAGTTCATACTGTATCTGTCCTTCTGCTAATAATGTATGTAGCTATATTGCTTGGGCTTAATCTAGTGATTATTTTGTCAATAACTTACAATCACAATCAGATTTTTTTTCCCTTTTTTTTTTTTTGTCTGTAAAATATCAGAAAAAATATGCCACGCAGAGTCAGAATATGAAGTTTCTCAACTGTTGTCTAATTATTAGTCTCAAACCCCCGAAAAAATGCAATATCAAACAAAAATCCAGAACATGATCACATTTGACAAACTGAGATAAATTTGTGTTGCTCTGTTAATCAGCTGCTCATTTCAACACTAGTTATTACTTTACCCAAGGTAGTACAGGGACACTGCTTGTGATGCATGATTATACAAAAACAGACTTTAATTAAAATCTTTAATTACCAAAATAAAAAGTTCAACATTCCAATACAAAGACCAAACCTTGCACACAATTACACCCTTTCTGAAGGAAAAGTGCAACCCGTTCCGCTACTCGTCATGATTGTAGAGGACATCTTTACTGTAATAGCAGCAATGTTGACCTTGTGAGGGTACAGTACAGAGCACAATACTTCTAAATGAGCAGGATTCGGGGAAAACAAAAGCAGGGAATTTGTTTAATAAGCAGGGGGGGTATAAAGAGGAGGATGTAACATAACCAGTGTCATAAAGCTTCTTGTCATGCTCTGGTTCAAGAGGGACAGAGAGTTCAAGCAAACTAATGCAGATTAAACACATTTCAAATCACTTGACAGGAACGCAACTCTGTAATAGCAAACTAACCCAATCCCGGGGACATTTCAATAATCTGATATTACACAATTTAAATCAAATGGAAAAAAAATATAGATATATACATCTCATATGGATCAATATATGCAAATGTACATTAGCAAGTCATTATTTCTATATACTTTCTATACCACAGGTGTCAGTAAACTCATAGCTAGATCTTTGAATAGTTAGTTTAATACATTACTCCTAAATTCAACTAAAAAGCATTAAGACACTTCATTCCACTCCCAACAACAAACAAGAGTTTCACATCCACAGTTCAGCTGGAAAACAGGGAAGATAGCTGGATGAGTTAGCACCGGTTTTTGTCGTTTGTCTCTGCTGAAGTGCAGAGACAGGACAGAGGTGACAGCAGAGGTTAGCTATTGCTGTAATGACAGACTTACTTACTTTCTAAATGTGTAATGCATTACAGTAAGTGCTTATATTGCAAAACAACTCAATATAATTAATTGAATTCAACTTTATCATAAATCCCCATGGTCAATCACCAATATCTTTAAATCACAATGACAGAGCACCTGTGAGCTGAAACTTGAAAAGGAAACGCAAGCTCAAGGATTTCTAATTAGCATTTCTCTCTGATTAAACAAAGGTAGTGGACCTCAGGACTCAGTCAAGCATTCAAGAACAAGTACACATTACCTCAATCACTATTACTGGTCATTGCTTGAAGTGGGATGTGAGCAGTGGTGCATTAACACACAGTGTGAACAAAGTGCTTTCTGATCTAACATGCTGAAGAATCAACAGCCACAAACTGTCCTACACAGCTGAGGGGGGGAAAATGGGTGAGAAGCTTTAGGGCATGACCCATTATTTGGCACCTAGTTCACTCGCCTCCTCTCTCCTGTGTTGAGGTTCAGTATGTGTCTGCCCTCGATGTTACTAAGATATGTAGTCACTTGCAGCAGTTGTAAAGAGAGGTGCTCTTAAGAATACCCAGCAGAGCTGAGTACCAGCTACAGTTTATAGGCAGATCTGAGGGTGATGTGTTGTGTTTAACAAGACTGCACGTGGCTTGTGCCACACATTCTTTGCTTTGAAAAACCGTAAGAAAAACAAAACAGACACTTAAGACTGAACACAGATAAGAGATATGTTAACTTGAGGAATGATTCATAGGAGAGTACGGTCCTACGCTCTGCCCACCGGTGAAACCAAATAGTCAAATTCTTAAGAAAAACACATTTCTCATATTTCAATGTGCAAATAATGTGAGACTTAAGGGAATACAAACATCCGCAAAATAAGTCTTTTGGGGACTCAAAGGTGATGAGCTGCATTGCTGAGATAAGGTACAGTCTCAGTCTGAAGCAGGTGCAGTGGTGCTGCAGTGGTGCATTAGGATTTGAAGACGTGCACGGCCCTCACAACGTACTGCCTGCAGATTGGGCATTCGTTCATCCTCTTGCCACACTTGGTGCAGGTGACCATGTGACCACACTCCAGGAGAACGCAGTCGATCACGGCGTCCATGCAGATCCTGCACAGGTTGTCGTCGTGAATCGTCAGAGGACAGTTCTCACCATCTGCAAGAGAAAGACGCAAAGAAGTGACCGGAAATGTGAAGAATCTGCTTTCAGCATGGAGTGCTATATCATGCATCATATGAGGGACGACGGAGCACTGAAATACTCAGCAGCTTAATGAAAACCCCTCATCTGATCCAGTGCACCTTCTCTGGGTAGGGTCATGCTCACTAGCTCCTGCAAAATGTCAATGCCTGGTATGGCGATGTGTCAAGACGTTTCTATGACAACCACACAGTCTTTATCACTGGAAGCGTGCTGCTACGAGAGTGAATGTACACGGCTAACATACTGCGGCTTTCAGTATAATTAGCTTCACATGTTCCACACATGAATAGACAACTGAGGGGAGATTGATCTCACGGTGGATCAATGTTCTGGGAGCATGACAAATGAAGTTAAATTATTCAAATTCATATTCTTGAAGTGGAGACATGAACGTTCATTTTCATCCTCAATGAAACAGCGAGAGACCCTCACAATAAATGCCATTCCACAGGAAGCACCACATATAAGGGTTTCACAAAGAAGTGGGCTGAATGAGAACAGGTTCACAATGAATACAGATGGGTATGTGATTCTGCTCGTACAATGGAGAGGCGAGTCACAGAGAGAACATGTGACCACAGCGATGGTGGCGAGGAGTCTGGAAGCCTTACCTCCGATGGCACCATTGCAGATAGGAGGGGGGAAGGCCATCACTTTAGTGAGGGAGGAGTAAAGCAAGCATGAGACATTGTCATCGTGGTTCCAAATGAGAAACGACCTGCTTCTGATCAGTGTACCTTACTGTAGATTATTACTACTATCACCTTCACTGTACAGTATTGTCAAATGAAGCAGAGGTATTACATTTCTATGCATAAAAACAGGATGTGGTATCCAATACTGACATCGAGGGCAGTGTGCACACCAATCAGTGACAACTTACCTGTGGTTACAGTACTGCTCACATTTTCCACTGCAAGAAAAACAAATTGAATTTACTATTACAAGTTACTATGACAAGCTATATGAGAGCATTAGATGATTTCTATGGTACATATAATGAATTGGGACCTTTTTTATAGCAGAAACCTAACAAACAAAAGCACACAGTATTTATTCAGCGTGACAAAATGAATACCCACATGATTTCCTGTTCTCCTCTGTCTCTCTGTACAGCCTGCTGACGCGTTCCACAAGCTCCCACTTCTCACAGCACCCTGAATAGTTGACAAAATTCCTGGCCAGTATCTCCTTCAGCTGCCTGACAGACAGGCCCTCAATATCCCTCAAACTGGAGATGTCCGAGAGGGACGCTCTGGCCCGACGTCGCGTCTGAGGGCTCACCTGAAAGATGCAAAACACCACTAAATTAGATGTTTTGGACACAATTTCCCCCATTTCTTTTCATGATTTTATCCTCCATGTCCATCATATTTGATTTCATTTCTTACTACTTTTTTGGTGCAAAAAGCATTTTTTGACTTACAGTGCAGAAATACACAGATGAACCACAATATTAAAGATAAACAGCTGAAATGAATCACATTGATCATGTCCTTCTTGTTCTGCTGGGAAAGCATGGATCTTTACATTCATCAGCTCTTGTTTTATTCTATTTATCGCCTGGCACTGTTTGCACTTCCTTTTTAATGTCTAATGCTGTGTTTTATGTTGATCCTGTCTGTCTGTAACTCACTGTTATTTTTTAATTGTTATGTTTGTGGAGGACAGGCTTCACGGTGTTGTCTGTCTGTGATTCCATGTTGTATTGTTTTGTTATTTGCAAACAGGTCTCTCTTGAGAATGAGACCCTGTGTCTCAATGAGATTACCTGTATAAATAAAGGAAATGATAATAATCGTTCATGTGGATATTACGTCAACATGTAGCACCTATTATTTAACCAAGCACACTCCTGCTCAGGCAATGGCAGTTGCCACCTCTAGCAGGACAACGCAACTAACCACAGCACAAAAAAACTGCTAAGGAATAACTCAAGGTGGAAGATGCCCAAGAGTTGATGTACAAAAGACTATTATCTGCCCTAGCCTCCAAACTCCCAAGATCCTAATCTGATCCAGCATCCACTGGATATACCGAAATAAGCCAGACACGCAGAGGCCCAACCCAGCAAATCGTAGGATCGGCTTTCAACATCCCAGTGCAAGACACCACGAGACACCCAGAGAGGTCAGGTATCCCTGCTCCGACGGGTCAGAGCTGTGTCTGCAGCATGACGAGAACCTCCACAATGTTAGGCGGGTGGTTTTAATATTGTGGCTGATCAGTGGATATTTAGTACCTCAATCTACTGAACACCTCAATTCTTGCAGCATTGGAGAGAACTTGCTGATATGCAGTTCTTTCATTCCGATGCAGTCAAGAAATTCAACGCATTAGCGTCTAATTTTTAACCAGCATATCACTTTCCTTGCAATCCAAACTCTAAAAGTTACAACACAAAATTATACATAATGCTGTGTCACCAAGTATTTCTGTTTCTAATCCAGCATCAACATCTAGCTACAGAACTAAAATTCATTCATCCCTAATCCACAAAATGCATGAATTAAAAAAATAATAATAAGATCAATAGGAATGCATGGATCACCTCAGGAGTGTGTTCACTGGGGTCCAAGTTAAGAAGAGACACTGATGTAGCGTCACCTATATCCTGCAACAGAACAACAAAAACAGTAAACATTAGTGTTGACTACATGTTAGGAACACACTCGTCTACTGAGGATTAGGATTAGACGCTCTTCAGTCAGCCCATTGATACCTTGGGAACGACAATGCTGAGTACCTTCCATTCATAGAAAAGCTTACTGATCCATGAGCAGGCCAAGTACAAGTATTTATAGTAGATCCTGGCTGCTTGGAGCTCAGCTCCATTTTTAGTGCAAGTTGTAGCTTCTTTTACTTTTTGTCACTTTGTTTCTAGAGTTCTGATTGGTCTTGTTTTTAGTGGCTTACAAACTGTAGTAAAAACAGGATGAACACCGTGTCTCTCTTCAACACATAGCCTATGGTGGCATGTTAAGTGCTCCCCATAGGCTCATTTGTGGTGATTTGACAGACAAGATCTGCAAAAGTAGGAATGTGGAAAAACAACAATAACTCTTTAAAATGTAGGCTTTGTGCTTCAAGGCCACCAGCTTTCAGAATTTGTCGTGTTACTACTACTTGAAAGAACAAACAAGAGGTAATAACTAGCAACAATACTGAGAAATGGCTGTTATAGCTCGGTTTCTAAGTAGATAATTGTAAGGATCTTGCTAATATGTAGGGTTCGCACACGTTTAAATGCTGATCCTGACCTGGTTGGTATCAGAGCTGTCACTCCTGCTGAGTTGTTCCTCCTGAGAGGCAGCGAAAGCAGACAGCTCTGAGGCAGACTGTGTGGTCGAAGGGGTTGGTGTATACAAGGAACGCGAGTGGAGGCTGGCTGTGTCGCCGTCCTCCTCTTCCTCAATGCCTTGGTGACGGAGCACCAAGTCCACCAGGTCTTCCTTTTCCCTGCAGGTGTCAGTGGGGATGTTGCGCAGCAGCAAGTATTGACGCAGGTCCTTTACTCGCAGACGCATAAGCCGTGGTCGCTGAAACGCCGTGGCCTTCAGCAAGTGACATGTGGCACAAATGCGGAGATTCTCCTGAAGCACGGAGCACAGAGAGCAGAAGCTCTTCTTGCAGTCGCAGCAAATATACTAAGGAAGAACAGAGCGAAGAAAAACAAGATGAAATGAGGCCACTGGTGATTCATGCACACCTTCAACCAAGTGTTATTGCCAAAAATCCCTCATGACAGAGTGATGCTGTGGACATAAAAATGTAACCAAAATTCCACATTCTCCTACTTGTTTTTTTTTTTTTTTCCGTACAAAAATTTTAGATTTTACAGAAAAAAAAGGAAAACGAGACTTAACAAATCACTCCATTTTTCAATCACTCACATCTGCTCTTCCTCTCCAGGCACAGAGACCAGGAGGCACTTTCTTTTAAGTGACAAACATCAAACAGTAATAAATGCAAGATGTGGGATTAGACTGGCACGATGAGCGAGTGAAGCACAGAGTTCAGACAGAATGAGACCCTGTGAGCCATACGTGAACATGAGCGTTCAGTGAAGATATTACTGCGGCAGCATGTCGGTCCATCTGTCTTCTGACTTAGTCTATTTGTCCCCTCACACATAGATATCGGTTCAGCGCTTTAGAAAAAAAGCCATACTGTATTTTATGATTTGAACATGTGCTTAATTTAAAATAATTAGGGTAAATGCTGCCTTGTTAATTTCATGTTTAATTTCAAGTAGTAGACAAGAAAATGAGCATAAACATGCACTCTATCTACAAGCCAAAAGCACCTCTACCTAAAATATTCATTTAATATCCCCCTCTGCTTCTACACATGCACCTCTTCCCTCTAATTAAGTCATCAGCTCAGCTAACATGTGCTGGCACCACACAGATCATCCAGACACCTACCTTCCTCCTGAAGACTGAGAAGGCCTGGCCACAGGCCTTGCATACAACACTGGGACTCCCTGAGCTGGTGGGGGGGTATGTGGAGTATCCCGCACTGGGGGCAAATCTGAAGGGTCCAGCACCGGCCCCAAACCCTGGCTGCTGGCCTCTGACGGCCCCAGTACCCATGACTTCATTCAGCAGACCACAGCATGAAGCCCACATGGACGAGGCCCCTGCCTGACATGAACAAAACATCCTCACTTCAGTGTCTGCTGTCCTCCTCACACCAGTCTTGTTGTAGCACCACTATCATTCAGACACACATGCACCAAAGAAACAAGTCTGCACTTTGCATAGAGGCCACATATGAGTGCTAATTATAGATGAGATGACTAAAAGCCTTCACCCACAGTGCTGGATGAACACAAACTGTGAGAAGAGCAAGCAACTGTCAACACACTGACTGCCACAAGCAATTAGGCTACACAACCGCTGATTAAATTATTCCTGCTAAACAGCTCGTTTTAAGGTTACAAGAAAACAGAGGAGCGACTAAGCCAATATTAAATGCAAATAATACAGTCTCCCAAATAATTTCATTCAATTTCATCCAAGTGGAGGTTTAGTGGCAGCTGTCAGCGCTAATTAGCTGAGTAACACAACATTCAGCGACGTGAAGCTTACATTAGTAGCTAACGTTAGCTAGCTGCTGCTGCTAGCGACAGTCTGTCAGCGGCGCTAAAACAGAAGCACAGCTAATGTGGAGAGAAAAGCACCTTCATTGCAGCTCCGGCGTGTCTACTGACAAATAAGAGATTGACGGCGTAAGCATTGCAATGTGTAGCGTCTCTTATTCAGCTCAAGTGCCTGGCCTGGATGCGTCTGGATGTGACGAGACCGACGGTCGAGCTCCGAGTGCTGCTGCTGCTTCTTCGGTTTACGGAGCAACTGCAGCCAGGCGGAACATTACCGCCCCCTACTGCTGCTGTTATGCACTGCAATACACAGGGTGCAACACCAGGGAGTGAAACCCTGTGCAAAACCATTTAAATGTCAAATTTCAAATTGCACCATCTTTCAAAGGGTGCATTGTTTTTATTTTCAGAA